CAGTCCTTGAACCGGTCTTCCACGGAACACATTTCTGTTTGAGTGAAATCCAGTTTATCTACTCTTGCCTTTTATGGGCTGTGCTTTTTATACCACGAGTAAACAGTTCTCTCGCCCTGAGTCAGAGACGTTCCTCCGCTTTCTTGCAGTTTGCAGTTGCTGCGGGCCCGCGGCGGGACTGACGGACCCCGGGCAGAGGTGGGATCTGGGAGGCCGGGGCGGAGGGCCGCTGAGCACGGCGCTGGCCTGCCGCTGGGCTCTGCTCCCCACGGACCGTCTGCCTTCCCACACCCCTGGCCCGGACTGCTCCATTAGAGAGTAAGTCTTGTGTGTGTTTTCAAATAGAGAGAGGAGGGAGGGAAAGGTGGGGGAGAGAAACATCTATGTGAGAGCGAAACATCTATCAGCTCCTCCTGCACGCCGGGAGCTGGGATGGAGCCGGGGACCCAGCCCGCACGCAGCCCAGCACAAGCCCTGACGGGGACTCAGACCGCAGCCTCTGCGTGTGCGTGCCGACCACTGCGCCGCCGCGGCCCGGTCCGGAGAGTCTGACCGGAGAGCGAGCCTCCTGCTCTTTCCGGCGGTGCGAGCGCTCAGCGCCGTCCTCCCGGCTCTTCCGGAAGCAGCTTCTCCGGGTCCGGAGTCTCGTCTGGACTTCATAGGATGGACCGGACCTTCTGGGAGGAGGGCGCCTTACCTCCCTGCCCAGGAGCACCTGCGATTTCTCTCGTTCGTGTTTCATTGTTCTCAGCATACAGGCCTCCTCGTGGTGTTTTACTTTTTAATTATTTATTTTAGAGAGAGGCAGGAAGGAGGGGAGAGCGGTTTGTCGTCGTACTTATTTATGTTTTCATTTGTTGCTTCTTGTATGTGCCCTGACCAGAGATTGAACCCGCAGCCTTGATGTGCCTGGTGGCACTGTACCCCACCGAGCGACCAGCCAGGGCTCTCCACGGGTTGGTTATGTTTGCGCCTCATTGTTTTTTAAACGTATTTTTATTATTGATTTCAGAGAGAAAGAGAAACATCAGTGATGAGAGAGAATCGATTGGCTGCCTCCTGCACGCGCACACTGGCGCTTGTGTCTGAAACCTAGGCAAGTGCCCTGGCTGGGAATTGAACCATGACCTCCTGGTTCATAGGTCGATGCTCAGTCCTGACTCTGAGCCACGCCAGCCGGCCACATCTCCCTATTTTTAAAGTGATGGTCAGTGACGCCTTTTACTTCCTCCTCTGTCTGCTTTGCCTGTTGTGCCAGCCAGGATTCCACGTGGCACTCCGTCGGGCAGAGGGGAGGCAGCAGACGCCAGCCTTGTCCGCACCGTCGGGAGACATTCCCGTATTCACCACCACGTTAGGTGTCAGCTGTCGGTTCCCGTAGATGGTGTGCATCAAGCTCCTCCCCGTTCCTCATCACAGAATTTTTGTCATAAATGGGCACTGAGCTTTGTGCATACGTTGTCATCAGGTGATTTTTCCTTCTTGCCTTGCTAATGTGTTGCATTGCATGGATTGAGCCAACCTTGCATTCCCAGAACAAACCTGTTGGCGGTGGGTTATTCTTTTTAAACATGTGTTGTTGCAGCATAAGGCTGCTCTGGGCAGCGCGGAGCGTGACCTGAGGGTGTGTGAGTCCTAGTTCCTGAAGCGCAAGCAGAAGCGGGGGCAGCGCCCCCTGCGGGCGTAGCTCTGGGGCTTGTGTCCGGGCTCCCCGGGACCGGCCGCGGCTGTGGGTTGGGGGGGCAGGGAGTGCAGCTGGGAGACCCTGCGTTGCCTGTTGGGCAGGCGGTGGGTAGTGTCCTTTGCCCGCAGGGAGTCCTCCCTCGCACTCTGTGCCCTGCTGCGTGTGCGTGATTTCAGCTCTGAGCGCGGGTTACAGACTCCAGCTCCCTCATCCATTTAGGTGATAATTACCTCGAATGAGTTACCTGTGACTGTTGCCCAGAAACCCCGTGATTGCAGGTTGTTACCGTCACAGTGAAGATCTCCGCGCCGTGGTCATCCCCTCGCCTTTCCTCCTCGGTCTCTCCCTCCCCGCGGTGTTTCCGTTCCTCCTTGGCATGAGTGCTCCCCGGGCTCTAGGGTTACAGCCTCCGCCGGCTCGGGCAGCGGCTCGGTGACCACAGGCCCAGCGTGTCCATCGTCATTTACCAGCTTCCCTCTCCTCGGGGCTCTGAGGCTGCCCTCCCAGGTTCAGCTCCCAGCAGCTGGGGCCCTGCCTGTGCTCCGCAGGGTCTGGTGGTGGTGGTGGTGGCGGAACAGGCAGGCATTGTTCCCAGGGGCCACCAGCTGAGTCTGCGGGGTCGTGGCCAGCTCAGGCTTGGGCCTCTGTTGGCCTCCCTCTGTGTCTGCTGAGGGTGAGCAGGGCCTGGGGTGTTGGCCCCGATGCCAGCTGTGCGACCTGGCCGACCTGGCCGACCTGGCGGGGTGTGGTTGCCTGGTGCCGTCCCTGGTTCTGCTGGGAGGGGACAGGGAGGGCAGCAGGTGAGCGGTCTGCCGTGGTGTTCGCACGCCTGCCGTGTCCCGTTGCTGCCCCAGGTGCTTCTCCTGGGCTGTTACCTTCCCTGGGGCTCCCGCATCACTGTCCCTGTCCTGGTCAGTTCCTGTTGGAGCATGGCTGATGGGCCCTCTCCGTGCTGCGGGCTGTCGACTGGTCCCCGGCGGTCAGAGGAGACTGACCCTGGGTGCCAGCCCGTGACTCAGCCCTTCCCGGTGTGTGCCCACGTGGGTCGCTCCCCTCCTCTGTGGTGCCGGGGCCGTGGGAGGGCTGGCCGGGTGAACGCAGGGCAGTGCCAGGCCGATGCCCAGGAAGGGGCTGTTTGGAATAAGGAAGTGAGGGAGCCGCCTGGGTTTTCCCCGTCCAGCCCTGTCCCTGGCTGTGGTCCCTGCCAGCCCTGCATTTCCACCTCTTCCTCCGGCTGCTCTCCAGACCCCTTTTGGCTCCTCAGGGGAGCTGCCCAGGTTCAGTCCTGTGTCTGCCCACCGCACCCTGGGCGGCACCCAGGCCGGGTGGAGTGCTCACCACAGGCTGAGCCAGCCGTCCCCTGAGTGCCATCCCCCCGAGGGGCTGGGCTCAGGGGACCTTTTGGGCCCGAGAGCCTGAGCAGAACCAGGTCAGTAGCTTCGGTTGTCGGTCAGGGGCGAGGCAGACCCGTGGAAGGGCAGCCTCTGGCCGGGCCGCCGTGCTGTGCGGACGGAGCAGGGACATGGGGGAGGAGGCACAGCCCGCCGTGGCGGTGCTGGGCAGAGGCCGGAGCAGGCGGTGTGGGGAGCCAGGGTGCGCAGTCTGTGTCGCTCTGGGCTCTCCGGGGCGGCTGTAGCCTGGCAGGGGTGAAGCGTTTTAAGAAACTTCACCAGGCTGCCGCGTGCTCAGCGGCTTGTTGACAGAGTTGGTCTGTCCGTGTCCGGGTCACGTGTGTGCGTAGCAGATGTTTTCTGTCGCCGCCACGTGATGTTCACTTTGTTAACCGTCTTGGGAAGGGTAGTGGCTTCCATTGTGATGAGGTCTGTTCTTGTAGCGCTGGTGCTTGGCGTGTTCTGTTTAAAAACCTTCGCCAGCCAAAGCCGGTTTGGCTCAGTGGTAGAGCATCAGTCTGCGGACTGAAAGGTCCCGGGTTCGATTCCGGTCGTGGGCATGTACATTGGTTGCGGGCACATCCCCAGAAAGGGGTGTGCAGGAGGCAGCTGGTCGATGTCTCTCTCTCATCGACGTTTCTGGCTCTCTCTCTCCCTTCCTCTCTGTAAAAAATCAATAAAATATATTTAAAAAAATAAAATAAAAACTTTCGCCAAAGCCACAGCCACCGAGCCTTCCTGTGCGGGTGAGCGGAGGGCTGCCAGCCGTGCAGAGCGGACGGCCCCTCCCGCCTGGTGGCCACCTCCGAGGCGGCCTCTGTCCCTGGACTGTCTCGTGTCGGCACCACGCGGCTCAGGCAGCGTTGCCGCAGCGATGGCTCAGGCTCAGCGTCCTCTCTCAGAAAGCGGCTGGTTTGCTGTGGGTTTGGGAGGGCCGGGGAGTGTGGGGGGACGGAGGTAAGTGTCCCCTCCAGTCCTGAGCGTGGCTGTCCTTCCCTGTTTCCTCTGGCCTGTCTTTTCTGCATGGACTTGGCAGCCTTTCTGCTGGGCTGTGAGTGACGGAGCATCGTGGCGGCTCCACACCGCAGGCCGCCAGTTCGTGTCGCACAAGTCCCCCAAGTCCCCTTGCAGCGCCCGCCCGGGGTGAGGTGCCTTCAGGGGCCCCGTCACCTTTGACCTCCCCTGGAGGCCCAGGCTTGCCCAGAACCCTCCACTTCCCCCGCCCACCCCGCCCCTCCGTGCCAGCCCTGCCTCCTGGGAGAGGAATGGCGTGCCCTGGCCTGGCCACCTGCTCCTGTGGAGGCCGGGCCACCCGGCCTGGGTCGTCCTCCGCCGGCCTGTCCTCTGCTCCTTCTGACGTCCACGTCCGGGGGGTGGGGGGGGACACCTTCAGGGCCACCGCCTGGCCCCGGCCCCCCCTCCCCGCCCCCCGGGGAGGTCAGTGTTTGTTCCTTCCCTCCCCCCCTCTCTCATCAGTCGGGAATTTTCTTAGAAAATCACTCTCTGCCTTATCAGGCTTCCTTGGCTCCCGCCCTGAGGGTGTGAGCTCAGCCTCCCCTCCCGCCGGCCCCTGCCCCGGCTGTTTCCTGCTGACTCGGAGCCTTCTTTGCGGGCGGTGGGCGCCGTGTCCACGCCGAGCTGAGTGCCCGGTGGTGAGCAGAGGCTCGGTGGTCACGTCCGTCTGGGCTGCTCTGGGACGGAGGTCTAGCGTGCCGCCGCCGCTGCGTCGCGATTGTCCAGCTTCTCTGGACGGAGAGGCGTTTACCTTGCGCCGGCCTCTCCCGGCTGCTGTGCCCGCTGGGCGCGTGCGTGGGCTCTCTTCCTGCCCGGACCCCCGGGCTCGCCGAGCGGGCTGCGGAGGCCTCACTCCTTTGCTTTGTTAAATTAGGGATCTGCGTGCTGACCGCAGCCCTGGGCCGTCGGCCATGGAGATGGAGCCGGAGAAGGTCAGCGCGCGCCGGGGGCTGAGTGCGGACACGGCCTCCTACCGCTGTGCCGCCTGCCACGGGGACAAGGACCCGGCGCTGGGCCACCCCATCCCCATCCGGGGCCGCGCCAAGTCCCGCAGCCTGTCCGCCGCGCCCGCCCTGGCGAGCACCAAGGAGTTCAGGTACGGGGCCCTCGGCACACGGCGCCGTCCTCAGCAGTGCCCACGCCTGAGTGCCCACGCCATTGCCCACAGAGCTGTGTGGCCCAGGCCCCGCTCCCGGCGGGGCTGGCGGGGCCACGGCCCCCAGGTCAGTTGGACGAGTGTCCCCACTCCCCTCCCCGAGGCCAGCCGGGCGGCTCTTGCACAAGACCTTGAGTAACCGCGTGCAGAGCGGGTGCGACCAGCAGGCAGGGGTGAGGGCACCTGGGACAGTAAACACTCCGGCCCTGGGGAAGCTGCCAGGGTGACTGTGCCTCTGGAGCCGGGGTCGCCTGCAGGCCAGGGGCATCCTGGGAGCGCCAGGTGAGTGGAGGAGCGCACGCCTTCCCTGGCTGCGCGGCGACAGGTGCCGCAGGGTTTTCTGGGGAGAAAGTTCTCGCCGCGTTGGGAGGACCGTGGAGCCTCGGCCAGGCAGCCTCTTTCAGGTGACTTCCTCTGGTTTTGTTGACCCTCCGCACCCAGGCCACGAGGCCAGCGTGGCTCCCGCAGCCGGCTCTGGGCTTGGCTCTGGGCGTGCGTCAGGCACCCTTTCTGTGCAGAGGACGGAGCCTGGCAGCGGCCGGGGCGTGTCGGCCTGTGGGTGTCAGCCAGGGAGTGAGAGGGCCTGTCCCAGCTAAACACCGACTCACAATCCACTGCAGACCCGTTTCCAGGCTCTGTCCCCAAGGCCCGCAGGGGCGGCTGCCCAGAAGGTGACTGTTCTGTGCGGGCAGGCGGTCGTGAAGCCCTGAGCTTGGCAGTCAGCGACGAGAGCACGTGGCCGGCTCCCTGCGGCTTCCTTGCGGAAGGGCCTGCGGGGTCCTTGGCGGCGGATGTGGGGGATCGTCCCCCTGCCTGGCCACGCAGGGCGTCCTGGTGGGGCGGGCACTGGACCCCAAGGCCGAGGGAGGAGGCCACCGAGCACCCCACGACGTGCTGGCCCCGTGCTGTCCAGGGGCTTGTGCCTCAGTCACCTCTCAGCTCCTGGGAAGTGGGGCGCTCAGGAGCGTCGTCCTTGTTGACAGGATGGCTCGAGGGGGTGCCTATTGGCACGTGGCTCTCAGTTCCCAGGGATGGTTTCCTGCAGCCTCGGCCCAGGCCTAGGGGAGGGCTGGTCTCACAGGCACCTGCACAGCTCAGGTTCCAGGCGGCCCGAGATCAGGGCCTGCTCCGGTGTGTCCTTGTTCTGAGGCTGGGCCAGGTGTGCCCCGGTGTCTCCAGAGGCCGTGCTGCCTGGACAGCGTGTGCTCTCCGGTGAGCGCCGCGGCCAGGGCGGTCCCCGGGGCCACAGGGACAGAGCCGTCATTGGGTGGAACGTTCCCGAGAGGCTGCACGGCTGCCCCGAGCCGCCGCCTGCACCGCTCTGCTCTGCTCTCTCCACAGGAGGACCCGCTCCCTGCACGGGCCGTGCCCCGTGACCACCTTCGGACCAAAGGCCTGTGTGCTGCAGAACCCCCAGACCATCATGTGAGTGCGGGCCTGCTGGCGCCGGGGGCCGCTGTGTGTGCGGCTCCAGGACCTTTGAGAACGTGAGGCGAATGGGCATGTACGCCCAGCTTTCCCTTTGATTTGGTTTCATCTTTAATTAACGCTCAGGAAGAAAAGGCCGTATTTCACACTCACACACGTGGTGGGGCGAATGTTTCTCCTTTATTAGTTCCTAAAATGCAAGACGTTGGTTTTTTGAAAACGTGAGTTGACCTGTTTGAGGAAGTCACGCTCGCAGTGCTGTTCCTCGCTCTGGGGCTGCTGAGGGCCTGGCGCCTGCATGGCCGCTGGCCGAGGAGGCACGTGGCCCAGGAGGCGGGTTAAAGCGGAGCAGCTGGGCGGCCGGAGCGCAGCCGGTGAGCGCCATCCTGTGCTCGGAGTGGCCTGTGGATCCCGTCAGGCATGTGCTGGTCCAGACTCGGCCCAGCAGGGCGTGCAGGAGGCAGCCAGCTGTTTCTCAGAAATCAATAAAGACATTAATAAAAAAACTATTAGAGCAGCTTTAGGTTCACAGCAAAATGGAGGGAGAGGTACATAGATTTCCCACCTGTCCCTCTTCCCCCTGCAAATCCCCTCACCACCGACCCCTCACAGGGGTCAGGGGTCAGCAGAGAGCCGGCCCAACACTCACCACCACCAGGTCCAGTGACAGCAGGTTCCTGGGTGCTGTGCGTCCTGTCGCACAGGCGTGTAGTCGTGTGTGCACCACGATTATCACGGAGTGTCACTGGCCCCAGGTCCTGTGACTGGCTTTCAGTCGGGTTTTGCTGTAAAGGTTGAGGGTCACCTGAGTTGCTCACCGAGGTGTGCCGTGGGCTGCACCCCGTGAACCAGTCGGCAGGAAGCCTGGGCCCGGCGGCTCTGCATGGCCTCTGGGTGGGTGTCTGTGGGAGGCCTGGCGTCCTGCCTGGCCATGGAGGGAAGGCATCCCACAAAGGGCACCGCTGTCTGTCCTGGAGCAGCGCTGCCAGGGCGGTGGCTCCAGGAGCTGCCGGTGCGGCGGGACCGGGTCAGGTCCCCGCGGGAGGTCAGGGCCAGCCAGGTGCACGCGGGCGCTTCAGGCAGCAGGGGCCTGGGAGACAGCTTCGGGTGGGCAGGACGAGGGAGGCCGGCCCCTCGGGGCTGCGGGCGCCTGTGGCGTGGCCCCAGCCAGAGCTCCTCTCGCAGGCACATCCAGGACCCCGCCAGGCAGCGGCTGACGTGGAACAAGTCTCCCAAGAGCGTCCTTGTCATCAAGAAGGTCCGGGACGCCAGCCTGCTGCAGCCCTTCAAGGAACTTTGCGCGTACCTGATGGAGGTGAGCCCGCGGCCCGAGCCCTTGCCGCCTGCAGCCCTCCCCTGCCACCCGCAGCCCCTGCCACCCGCAGCCCTCCCTGCCCACAGCCCCCGCCGCCACAGCCCTCCCTGCCCGCGGCCCCCGCCGCCCACAGCCCTCCCTGCCCCCGGCCCCCGCCGCCCACAGCCCTCCCTGCCCGCGGCCCCTGCCGCCCACAGCCCTCCCTGCCCGCGTCCCCCACTGCCCACAGCCCTCCCTGCCCGTGGACCCTCCCGCCCACAGCCCTCCCTGCCCGCGGCCCCTGCCGCCCACAGCCCTCCCTGCCCGCGTCCCCCGCTGCCCACAGCCCTCCCTGCCCGCGTCCCCCACTGCCCACAGCCCTCCCTGCCCGCGGCCCCCGCCGCCCACAGCCCTCCCTGCCCCCGGCCCCCGCCGCCCACAGCCCTCCCTGCCCGCGTCCCCCGCTGCCCACAGCCCTCCCTGCCCGCGGCCCCCACTGCCCACAGCCCTCCCTGCCCGTGGACCCTGCCGCCCCAGGCCTCCCCGGCGGCGGGCACAGTGTCCAGGGCGGAGGCAGGAGCTCGCTTCGCCGGGCCGTGGGCAGGGAGGCGATTCGCAGCCACAGGGGAATTGGTCACCGCTGGCCGCCGGGCCTCTGGGCTGACGCACCCGCTGTCCCCAGGAGAACAACATGATCGTGTACGTGGAGAAGAAGGTTCTGGAAGACCCTGCCATCATGGGGGACGACAGCTTCGGGCCCGTGAAGAGGAAGTTCTGCACCTTCCGGGAAGGTGAGCGCCCGCCTGCGCAGAGCCCGCGGAGCCGCCTCCGGCCGCCCGCCGCCCGCCGCCCGCTGACGTCTCTCCTGCCTTCCAGACTACGACGACATCTCCAACCAGATCGACTTCATCATCTGCCTGGGCGGCGACGGCACGCTGCTCTACGCCTCCTCCCTCTTCCAGGTGGGCCGCTGCCGCCGCTCCGCCTCCCGCCGGGCGGCCAGGGAGCTGCAGGCAGGCCGGTGCCCGCGCTGCGGTGCCTTGAACTGGGGGAGGGCCGGGGAGGGGTGACTTCCAGGGCCGGGGGTTCGGATCCCGGGGTGATCCCAGAGGGGAGGTCCACCCTGCATGGCCCACCAGGGGCAGAAGGTCAGGCCTGGAGCGTGGCCCTGCTCACCTCAGGGGCCACCTCACCCAGGCCGGCCCCCTGTGGGCCCTGGCCCTGGGGTGCGTGTGGCCCGCTGACACGGGGACTTGGGTGGAGGGTCAGCTGGGTGCCACTTCTTCACCTTCAGGGCAGCGTGCCCCCCGTCATGGCGTTCCACCTGGGCTCACTGGGCTTCCTGACCCCCTTCAACTTCGAGAACTTTCAGACCCAAGTGACTCAGGTGATACAGGGTGAGTCGGAATGTTCTGGAACCCGCAAGCAGTCTGAGCCCGGCCTCGCCTTCTCCCTTGGTTTTGGGATTTTAAAGGTGTTCAGGGAACCGTAGTATTTCAAGTCAGAGACCCCTCCCCGCTCCCTGAGTCTATGGGGTGATGCTGTCCACAAAGCAGGCAGCTCCGTGCCCAGCTCCTCAGCTGAACACTCACCTGTGCCCTGTGCTGGGTGCTCCCGTCTCCTCCCCTCACCAGGGATCCCATCCCCTTCCTCCCCCCTCCGCCCCCTTGAGGACACGGCGTGCTGAGTGGCAGTGGGTGGATTTTCACAAAAGACAGACGTGTTGCTCTCGCTTTGGGGGGAGAAAAGGGGTCCCTGGTGGAGAGGGGTCTCTGCTTCCTATGGGTGTGACCCGCCCGCGTCCCTAGGGAACGCAGCTATTATTCTCCGGAGCCGGCTGAAGGTCAAGGTCGTGAAGGAGCTCAGAGGGAAGAAGATGGCCCTCCCTAACGGGGTCACTGAGAATGGGGTGTTGGCCTCGGACTGGGACACGGAGGCCGGGAAGCAGGTCATGCAGCACCAGGTCTGTGGACACGTCCCTCAGCTGGTCCTCAGTGTCTTCTGGCCTCGGGGAGGGGTGGGGGGCTTTGGTTAGACCCCAAGGGGAGCCCCCCCCTCAGGGCCTGCCAGACGGCCCAGGAGCAGCACCGGCCTTCGGGACAGACCCCGGGCGCTGCTCCGCCTCAGTGCGTGGCCTCGGCCCCAGGTCCTGAACGAAGTGGTGATTGACCGAGGCCCCTCCTCCTACCTGTCCAACGTGGACGTCTACCTGGACGGGCACCTCATCACCACGGTGCAGGGCGACGGTACGTGCCGGGCTGTCGTGGGCACCGGGTGCCGTGCTGGTGGTGGGCAGGGAGCGTGACCTGCGGCTGTTCCCAGGCGTGATCGTCTCCACCCCGACGGGCAGCACGGCATACGCGGTGGCAGCCGGAGCCTCCATGATCCACCCCAACGTGCCGGCCATCATGATCACGCCCATCTGTCCCCACTCGCTGTCATTCCGGCCCATCGTGGTCCCCGCGGGAGTCGAGCTCAAGGTCAGAGCCCTCGCACTCTCTCCCGGCCAGGTGGTCGCCAGGGGCTCCTGCAGCGGCCTCATGCCCCGGCACCCCACTGTGACCGGTTCCCCCGCGGGGTCCCCTTTTCTGTGCGGAAAGGGCCTCCTCCCGTCCTCACTGCCCGTTGGGCTCACACTGCGGAGGGGCCAGGTCTATGCAGAGAGGTGCTGTCCCCATGGAGGGGGCCTGCCCGCCTTGGTGGACACAGGGGGAGTGGCCCAGGTGAGGGCGACCAGCGTGGGTCAGTGAGCTGAGCAGGGGCCTGGCCCTGGGTTCCAGCCTAGGGTGGAGGGCAGTGACCTGGGCCTGGATGGACGTCTGTCCTGTCCCAGGGCTGGTGTCGGCGGGACAGCACCTTCGCCGGAGCTGGTCTTGCCTCTAAGAGTGCTGTGGGCCTCCAAGGCCCCGGTTGGTGCCGCCTCCAAAGCAGGGGCCTGAGGCGTCAGCGGGGCACACAGAAGCTCATGCCTGTCTGCTTGGCCCTGCAGATCATGTTGTCCCCGGAAGCGAGGAACACCGTGTGGGTGTCCTTTGACGGACGTAAGAGGCAGGAGATCCGCCATGGAGACAGGTGGGTGCGGAGTGAGGGCGTGCCTTCTGCCCTCCTCCTGCCAGGATGGCGTGAGGGCCCTGGGGGTCCTGGTCTCACGTGTCACATGGGACCATGCCTGTCGCAGCCTGTCACACGCGGTAGCTGTGTGGCCCTGGGTGCTGCCGTCCCTGCCGGGAGGGATGGAGCTGCTCATACGTGGCTGCACCCGTCCCCTCTGTCTCTGTCCTCCCCTCCTGAGGGGGGTGCTGAGGGGGCCCATGGCTCTGCCCAGGACAGACAGCAGGACCCGGGGACCCTGCCAAGCGGGAGAGCCAGGTCTGAAATGGCTCCTCACTGACAGGACGGGCCCCGCCCTGGGAGGGGGTCCTCTGGGCGGGCGGCAGGTGCTGCTGGCCCTGGGCTCACGCACGCCCCCTTGTCTCCAGCATCAGCATCACTACCTCGTGCTACCCGCTGCCCTCCATCTGCGTGCGGGACCCCGTGAGCGACTGGTTCGAGAGCCTGGCCCAGTGTCTGCACTGGAACGTGCGCAAGCGGCAGGCCCACTTCACGGACGAGGAGGGCGAGGAGGAGCAGGGCGAGGAAGAGGGCTAGCCGCCCGCTGCCGTGGTCCCTGCAGGCGTCAGGTGCCATGTCATCCTGTCTGTGGCCGAGCACCTGCCTCTGTCAGCAGACCAGCCGTTTCTCACATTGCAAGTCTCACCTTTTTGCATTTCTATAGAAGCCAAGCGAGCGACAGCAGGCCATCCCACAAGCTGCACGGACTCTCGTCCCGTCAGGGGACGTGGGGGCAGCCTGTCACAGTGAGGGGTCAGAACGCAGGCCTCCCTTTGGTGTGGAAATACACGTCTCACGGCCCGTCTTCCTCCCCCCACATTCCCCTCACCCTGCACCTCCCGGCCCCGGGGCCGTGTGAAGAGCACTTGGGAGGTGGGCACAGGCTGGGGCGGGGGTCCCGCCTCCTCCCCGGCCTCGGTGTGACGGGGCCACAGTGAGTGTCACCCGGGAGCCTGGTGGCGGCCAGGGGGGCTCGGCCCCACCCCGCGGGCAGTCTGACTCCGGCTGGTCCACAAGGCCCCTGTGTTCTCTGTGATGTGTGGGACACCTCTGTCGTGGTCGCCACGTAGGGGACTCTTTAGAAGACTGGGGCAAGCGGGTGAGTGGAGGGGAGTGCTGATGCTTCATGCGGGTCCTGGGGTACAAGGACACCCCATCATTCCAGCATCGCCCGCCTCGGCCCGCTGGCTGGGCGTGTTGGCCATGCGGGACCCAGACCTGTGGAGTCCGTGGCTGGACCCGAGGCTGGGTCTGCGTGTGGCCGTGGCCCCTCACTCAGCAGACGCCCTCAGGGAGCCCGTTGTGAGGAACATGGCTCTCTGAGCGGTTTCCATCTGCTCCCCTCGGAGAAGGGAAGGGCTCAGCGCCCCTGGGCCTCGTCAGGGCCATGGTGGGCAGTGACCTCCCATTGCAGGGACGCACACCCCAATCTTGTGCTAATGAGGCATCCAGAGCCACACGTGTGGCCACCTCAGCCGGGTCTCTGGCCGGTCGGCAGCCTGGGCACCGTCTCTGCCCTCCGTGCCTGTGTGGACGAGTGTTGACTGGGTGCTGTGCCCACTCTTGTCCCTGCTGAGGCTCCTCAGCATCTGGACTCAGCGGTGCTGGCACTCGGCCTGGTGTTGCACACAGAGGAGGGCTCTCACTGCCACCTGCCCACCCACGGGGCTGGTCTGCGGTCACTGTGTAGATGGAACGCCAGCGCTGCCCCCGCCCTGAGGCAGCATGATGGGATGGTCTAGAAAGCTATGGGTTTTTGAAGTAAATTCTTAATGTTTCATATTGTTAATATCCTGAAAATTTATTAAATGTTGTTGAAAGCCTTATTACTATTTTCAGATCCTTTCAATAAACAGACTTCTTTAAAGAGTTGGGTTCAGTGACAACTTTATTTGGATCCAAGTCCCTGAGGGAGGTGGGCAAGGTCCTCTCCCAGAAAGCTCTTGTCAGCCTTGCCCTGGGGCAGGGGCTGTGGGCGTGGCCGCCTGTCCCACGGCCTAGGGGTACGGAGCCTACTGACAGGACCTGCTGTTACCCCCCCCCTAGGGGCCCCTCGATCCTCACCAGCTCCCGTGGCTGGAACTCGGAGCATCTGCCTCGCTCCCCTGCTCCTTCCCCTGAGCCCTTGGTGGGTGGGCGGCAAGGCTTTGCCAGGATCAGTAGGCACCACAGACATGGCACAGAGCACTGGGCGGAGCCAGTGTTGGGGGTCGAATCCTGGGTTCAAAATAAGACCACAGGAGGCTGATGATTAAAAAAAGCAGGCAAGGATTTCTTTTTTTTTTTTTTTTTTAATATATTTTATTGATTTTTAACAGAGAAAGGGAGAGAGATAGAGAGCTAGAAATGTCGATGAGAGAGAAGCATCAACCAGCTGCCTCTTGCACACCCCCTACCGGGGATGTGCCCGCAACCAACGTACATGCCCTTGACCGGAATCGAACCTAGGACCCTTCAGTCTGCAGACCGATGCTCTACCACTGAGCCAAACCGGCTTCGGCCAGGCAAGGATTTCTTGAAATATCTGGCCAGGACAGCCGCGAGAGCACCACACGCAGGTGGTCTCCACACGACTTCCCGTTTCAGGGGTAGGCAGTTCCTTTTAAAGGTTCAAACCACAGGAATTTCCCTTTGTTCTAAATTCTCAATCCTAAAGACTACATTCTGAAGTCAGCCCGAAGAGTCGTAGCTAGTCACGTCCTGCTGGACGTTGGAATGTGGCCCTATCTTGCGACAGCCGATAACAGGAGAGCTCAGAGGTATCTACAGTTTCTATCTCTGAAGCTACGGAGTCAGTGGGAATTACTCTCCTGTGCTCCTGGTCCCACGCAAGGGGAAGAACTGCCTTAGCCTCCAGGTCTCCACCTGGAAGCTGAGGTAAATAGCTCCCCCCCCCATGTTTAGAAGGGTTAAAATTCAAACATTTCACCAGGTCCCACCACGTGCCCGTCCCCCCCCCCCCCGCCCGTGTCCGCTCTGCACGTTAAATCGGGCGAGGCTGCACTTCGGGCGGGAGGGGGGAGCCCCTGTGCACCCGGGCAGGCCAGCCGCCCCTCTCACTCCGGGGCCGTGATGGCGGGAAACGCGGGGGGAGTTCCCACCGTTGGGAACGCGCTTCGCTCCTGCGCTCTCCGAGGGGCCCAGCCGCGCGGCCGGCGCCTCGCTCTCCGGGGCGGACCCCGCCGGGGCCGGGGGTGCGGTCCGGGCCCGGCCTTGACCTCCCTGGAGTCACTTCCGGTGCGTCACTTCCGGTCCGGAAGAGAGCCCGGGCCGCCGCGGGGCCGCCCACCGGCCCGCCCGCCGCCTGCCTTCCCGGGAGGCCGCGCCCCGGCCCGTTCCGCCGGCCGGCTCCGGCCTCCTCGGCGCCCGAAGAGGCCCCGCCCGCCCCGCGCCCCCCAGGCCCCGGTCCGCGCCCCCCAGGCCCCGGCCCGCGCCCCCCAGGTCCCGGCCCGCGCCCCCCAGGCCCCGGCCCGCGCCCCCCAGGCCCCGGGCCGCGCCCCCCAGGCCCCGGTCCGCGCCCCCCAGGGCCCGGTCCGCGCCCCCCAGGCCCCGCCCCGCGCCCCCCAGGCCCCGCCCCGCGCCCCCCAGGCCCCGGTCCGCGCCCCCCAGGTCCCCGGTCCGCGCCCCCCAGGCCCCCGGTCCGCGCCCCCCAGGCCCCGCCCCGCGCCCCCCAGGCCCGGAGCCCGGACGGGAGACGCCGCGCAGCCGCGTGACAGGCCTCCGGGCCCCGCCCCCGCCGCCTCCCGGGAGCCCGGGCCCCGCCTCCGGCCTCCGGCCCCGCGGCGGGTGGAGGGCCCGGGCCCGGGGCTCCCGGTGCGCGACAGCGGCCCCGCGGCCGAGGCCCGGCGCCTGTCATCGCGCCGCCGCGGCCGGTGGGTGGCGGCCCGGCCCCGCGGCGGGCGGAGCCTCCTCCTTCCCGGGGCGGGGCGGCCTTCCCGGGGCGGGCTCGGCTGCTTTCCGGTGATGGCGCCGCCCGCGCCCTGGACGGCGCCCGGGCCCAGGAGCTGCGGGCCGCGCTGGGAGCCGGTCCGAACCGCGTCCTGCGGGGCGTGTCTCCGGTGCGTGTGAGGGACGCGCGGCGCCGCGTGGCACGGCCGGCCCCGCGGCTCCGGTGCGCCCTCGGGCCCCGTCCTCCCCCCGCGCCCGCCGGCCTCCGCGCTCCTCCCGCCCCGGGGACCCCTCCCCGGGTGACCCCTCCCGCCCGGGTGACCCCTCCCGCCCCGGGGGCCCCTCCCGCCCCGGGGACCCCTCCCCGGGTGACCCCTCCCGCTCTGGGTGACCCCTCCCGCCCGGGTGACCCCTCCCGCCCCGGGGACCCCTCCCGCCCCGGGGACCCCTCCCCGGGTGACCCCTCCCCGGGTGACCCCTCCCCGACCGCCCGGACCCTCCATCCCGCCCCGCTCCGCTCCGTGTGCCCTCACCTCGCGGAGGAGCCGGCACCACCCGAAACCACGGCCGGCCCCGGGGTGCCGGGCTCCGGAGGCGGAGGGCGCCCCGCGGGGTCGGGGGGAGCCCAGGCCGGCGGCGGACACGGGCGGGGCCCGGCGGGGGGAATCGCGCTTTAACCCGGGGCCTGGAGGCGGGCACGCCGGGCCCCGGAGGGCACGATCGCCTACGAACCGGTGGCGGTGGGTTTTTTTATTTGTTTGTTTGTTTTTCCCACCAAAATTTTAGAAAATGAAAAATAATGGTTGACATCCTGCCGGGCGACCTTCTGCTGGGTTGGGCTTTGGGGTTCCCAGGTGACCTCTGTCCTCTGGCCGCTGCGCCAGGAAATAAAACCCTGTTTGGGGGCGGAGTCTGCCCCGTGGGTTTGCTAAGGTTTGTGGTTTTTTAAATGGAAGCCTCTTACTTTACCCAAAATACTTAAACCTGTGGGAACAGCAGAGAGCAGGGCCCAACGGTATCCGACGGCACCACCCGGGCCAATCAGAGGGAATGGAAAGGTTTTTTACTTAAAA